ACATTCCAGAAAATCAAAATCTCCATGAACAGGTCACGTGCTATATTTAGAAACGAAACCATTCGTTGAGCACTACTTAATACTACTTGGATATATTTGTAAATAACTCAAACAAAGACGAAGCGTACATAACAGGTGATAGCTGACAATTTTGAAAATAATCAGTTCAGTTCGGTCTTCCTTCCTTCAGTATGGTCCAATGCATTTGGACCCTCTATTCCTAATAATTGTTACGTGATGAATTTTGATCGAAGACGTTGTGGCCTAAAGGATAAGATGCCTGGGTTCATTGGTACGGAACAATACGACTGTGTCGATGTTCGAATCCTGCAGGCAGATTCCAAATTTTTCAATGAAGAACATGCTTAAAATACATGCTGACGAACGACTTCCACAATCAATGATAAGCATCGTAACATTAATCCCTAAAAATTTGAATTTGCGTAATCACTGACGGTAGGGCATCTTGTGAGCCCGAATGAGCAACACTACACCCATTTCTTCCGTGAAGCAGTAATGCGGTCCGGTTTTAAGAAATGGGTTATACTATAGAATTGAGACTTAGAACTCATGTCTCAAGGTCGATGGCGGCATTTACGTTGTTGATGACTGTGGACTCTGATAATTATTTAACACCAATTGGCAAGTGAGGTCGCTCATCTGTGTAAGCAAAAAAAATACCCCTTTTAACTTCATCATAAAACATAACATAATTTCAGACATAAAGTTAATAAAGCTTCAAATACAGCAACGTCTGTCTTACTATTCAAATAGCAACGCGTGACGGCTTACTCACCAGAAATGAACTTAATTAAAAATGGTGCTCTGAGAATCCAACTCTTATACGAAACTCAGCAAACAAGAATTGCAAACACCACAGAATATCCATCGATATATCCAGACATCCAACAAACATCGTTGCTTTAAACTCGGCGCGGCGGTCGGATCCCAAAAACAATGAATTTTGAGATCGTGTTCCAAAGTTATTACATGTCCGGGAGTAGAGCATTGCGAGTTCCAAATTTTTGAAACAACAACCCTCAACTCTCAAGCCTTAGGCCAGACGCATATATACAATTTTTTCGATCAATATTTAATCGTATGAATGTATGCACAATAATCGACTGAAAAATAGATATAAAATTATTTGGGAATCGTGAATCAACGAAGATAGCAGATCTGCTATGTATGCGAATTTGACTTTTTTCGCGACAAAAGTAGCCGACATATATGATTTTTTTAATATTAATAAGATAATCTTATAGATGTAGTGTTTGAAAGAAACATAAACCATCTTAGGTATATTTAAGGTTATATTTTACTAGCTTTTGCCCGCGACTTCGCCGCATGGAATAAATAGTTCACAAATAATGCTTTATTTTAGAAAAAATTGGGTTAGCATAAAAAACGTTATAGTGAGCCAACCTTAACATACATATGCTGTCGCAGACTTTTTTTAGATCTTTTAAAGGGGAACAATTCTGACATACCTTATTTTAGCGAAACTTTAACCGTTTCTGCAGCGCACGCAGCGAAAGCTCTAAAAAGTAAAAATAACACCGATTTTGAAACACGCTTTATCGGTGCTCCGCTTGTATTGATCTTAGCGTGATGTTATATAGCCTATAGCCTTCCTCGATAAATTAAAGAACACTGAAAAATTTTTTCTAATCGAACCAGTAGTTCCTGAGATTAGCGCGTTCAAACAAACAAACTCTTCAGCTTTATAATACTAATAGTATAGATGTAACAATAATTTCAATACTAAGTTTCAACAAAAGTATAATAACACGGCTAAATGTCACACTTCCTTAACTAAAATTTAAAGCAACACACCGATAATTTTTTTTATGAAAAAAAAGATTTTCACATATATGTCTTGACCAATGAACTTTAACCGGTGAAAAGAGACAAGGAGAATTAGGAATCCATTAAATAGACAATAGACAGCGAGGGAGATGGCAGTGGACGGCTGAAACGCGGAGGTGACAGGCGGACCGTTAACAGGGCCGTAACAGGCTCAAGTGATATATGAGCTGCGAAGTGGCTTGGTGCCGCTGTCACTTCACGGTTCCGCTGCCGCTCGGCGTCCGCAAAAAGATAAAAACGGATTCCGAAATACGATTCACAAGTGGGCTGGCGGAAATGGGTAGAAAGTTACCGAGCACGGCTTTATGTCTGGCAATATATCTCTCGTATCGCTATCCAATTTCTGCTTTATGGCTTGTAATATCCCCGTGGAGAGTCTTTTAATTTTCTAATCCTTCTTTTCTTTTTGTTGCTTAGTTGGGTGGACGAACGAGCTCACAGCCTACCTGGTGTTAAGTGGTTACTGGAGCCCATAGACATCTACAACGTAAAAGCGCCACCCACCTTGAGATATAAGTTCTAAGATCTCAGTATAGTTACAACGGCTGCCCCACCCTTCAAACTGAAACGCATTACTGCTTCACGGCAGAAATAGGCAGGGCGGTGGTACCTACCCGCGCGGACTCACAAGAGGTCCTGCCACCAAAAGCTATAAGAGTTTTTCATAGTTTTAAATGTTGTTGTTGTTGTCCTAGGGTACCCCGCTGGTACATAGGGCCCCCACAAGTTGTCTCCACTTGACCCTGTCTTGTGCTTGCTCCTTGACATCACTCCAGGTCACGTTGGCAATCCTCATCTCACTCTCCACGGTGCGTCGCCAAGTATGTACAGGGCGACCAGGCCTTCTCGTGCCAAGCGGTTGCCACTCAAACGCGATTGATGCTGCGTTGACTCTGCTGCGCCGTAGAGTGTGCGTAGAGAGTTTTAATTTTTATTTTATTGCGTAGATGGGTGCACGAGCTCACAGCCCACCTGGTGTTAAGTGGTTACTGGAGCCCATAGACATCTACAACGTAAATGCGCCACCCACCTAAATGCTTACATTTATCTTTTTTATGGCTCGAACGAAATATGCCTCTAACTCTTTTGTCCGTAGATCTTGTAGGTTGTATGATGCTAATTTCTCTAATGCTGACATCTTTTGCTTGTCACTTGTAGCATATAGAAAAACTATTTTAAAATATTTATAAGGTGATTTAGTCCGATGAGTATTATAGTTTTATAGTGTAAGTTGATGTACATAATAATAAGTGCGTATTGTGTTGCTTTTGTTTTTTTGTAACCTAAATTTCTAAATTTCTCTTCTCTGTTCACTTTGTACTTATATGTGATTTTAAATATTATATGTTTGTACTGTACTGTTTGTTTCCCAAATAAAAAAATAAAAATAATTTGCATGTCTAGTAGCATTGCGGACATTTTTGATTTATAAGATTTAAAGGTAATTTCACACTAGGGACTTAGTGGATAATAAATTTAAAATTCACTAACCTACAAGAACTAAACATATTTATCTCGTACAAACTATGCTTGTATCAAGTTATTTGAACTTTAGTTGCGTGACTAGCCCAACCCTCGACCCCGGCGACCTTCAAAGAACGCCTTCTATCGGGGTGAACCCAATCCATCCCCTATAAATCCGTTAGTTCACTCACAGGTTTTCCATTAGTCGGATATTTTCTTCGTATTTCATTACATAAAACTAATTGAAATGTAATAAAATTGCAGCGTAGTGAAGCTACAACTGTGTGACATTAGTTTAATGTAAAGGTCAAACCAATAAGTTCTTGCTCATATAACACACAGGGGTCTCGAATCAGTTCATTGCGTTGATAGTTACGCTATTGTGGGGGCGATACTAACAATCCGACATATTCAGTTGGTAAATCGGTGAATGACAGTCGGCCAGTCCATCGTAAATGTGAGGTTAGTTCTCTAGATAACAAATAAACCATAAAAAAACAATCGCCAATTATTGTAATATACCGCCTTTTTTGCATTTAAAGTGTAAGTAAAAAACAATTTCCAAAAAGTTCGCAATTGAGTTAATATGCGTAAACATTTGGTATCACCAGTATTTTTCTCATCAATACTGTCAAAACAGCGTAATTTAGTTTTTTTTTTTATATACCTATGTTTTGACTACTATTAACAAAATTAATACATAGTTTTATCTTACTTTCAAACACAATGCAGCTGGTAAAAAATAAATGTTACAATTAAGATTAAAATTACAAATATTACATGTTAAACATTTAAAACACTCATGTAAAATTAGTAAATTTTGAGATTATACAGTTTTAATGCTAGAAGACAATATTTCCAGTCTAGTTCTAGTCGAAATTCGCGAAATACGAAACAGTGGCAATATCGAAACTTGTACGAAGCAGAAGTACAGAATACATGTAACTCCAGAAGGCGAAGTGTTTTCAATAAAGAGAAACAACTCCTGTCGTTTCCCGCAAAACGTTTACTCTCGTACATTGGCAGCGCTGTAGTTGGTAACGAGGTTATACAGAACAGTTTCAGGCGAAATTGCTCAGGGTGTGTCAGCTAGGTGTCATAAACTTTGAGAAACGCTGTCGACCATATGAGACGTGTGCAGCGTTGAAATACTCGGGTTGTTTCATCTCGGACTTTGTTAACGTTTTGCAGAATGTCGACACGTAGTTAATAAACGATACCCGAAAGTGCCAGACGACCATCTTATTTGATTACGAACTGTGAACAACATAATTATGTAAAATCATCACATCCAAGTAACTAAATAAATTAAGAACGTTTAATATAAAATATTTGTAACTAGCTGACCCGGCAGACTTCGTAGTGCCTCAATCGATAAATAAAAGACCTAAACTTTTGTATAAAATAAACTTAAAACAAACAAAAGGAATCCGTCCGACGGGGGACACATCAAAGGAAAAACAAAATTGTTATTTGTATTTAATTCGACCATTTTCATATTTATCTACCTTTTAAGTCTTCTCTGGACTTCCACAAATAATTCAAGACCAAAATTAGCCAAATCGATCCAAGCGTTCTCGAGTTTTAGCGAGACTAACGAACAGCAATTCATTTTTATATATATAGATTTGTAATAATTACAATTAAAATCCTATTCTTGTTTCCAGATAAATATGGATTGGAAGACTGCTGTTCTTCTTTTCGCCATAATATACTACGCCGATGGATACTCAAGTAAGTAAAAAATGACCGAAGTATTGAAAATAAAGCGATAAGTTGTAAATTGTGAAGAGAAACAAGTTTTAATAGTACCAATAAACAGGTTACTGAGCAGGTTCATAAATGACCTTATTCTTAATTAAATATAACATAACATCTTAATATATGTTGGTGTTTATATGAGATAATTCCAAAAAAAGCTTCGATTGGATCAAATTGGTACTGAACTTTTTTGTTTTCTCTGTGTGCTAAGTATTTTTCGAACATCCTGTAACAAACTATCCGATAGATATTGGCGATTTGTTTCTTTTGAATTTTTTAAATTTTTACTTGTGTTAGGACCTCTTGTGAGTCCGCACGGGTAGGTACCACCACCCCGCCTATTTCTGCCGTGAAGCAGTAATGCGTTTCGGTTTGAAGGCTGGGGCAGCCGCTGTAACTATACTTGAGACCTTAGAAGTTATATCTCAAGGTGGGTGGCGCATTTACGTCGTAGATGTCTATGGGCTCCAGTAGCCACTTAACATCAGGTGGGCTGTGAGCTCGTCCCCCTATCTAAGCAATAAAAAAGACAACAAAGTAATATTTTATTTCGCTACGAGAATGAAATTACATATTATCCTGTGTATTCCAAGTTCAACCAGTAAGTACACTTGAGGTACACGAACTTAATTCTCTCTAAAATATATAGGCGCCGTTAATAATGATCACAATGTACAAATTCGCGCGTCTAACAGCGAGGTCACATTTAAACATTTCCTGTTAAGTGAGTTACACTGTATTCGTGTGTGCGTAAATTCAGCGTGCCCACCATAAATTACATTATTCTATAACTTGGCATGCCCATTCGTAACGATCCATCTCGGGAACCTCTTGACTTCAGACGAGTACTGCCTGAAGGCACGTACGGAGCAAGCAGATTGCCGTAAGATATGGCTCGAATCCATTACCTAATGTTCGCATAAAACGAAGCACCCTCCGAGAGAGTAACAAAATAATGAGTTATGATCCGAAGTTATGATAGGTTTTTTTTTGTGTGTGATTTTATTACCTCTAAACACAGATGTATGGAATCACAAATTCTTCTGTATTATCAAACATAAACAATCTAAGGCCTAAGGGATAAGACGTCTGGTGCATTCGTGTTGAGCGATACACCGGCATTCGAATCCCAGACGGGTACCATTTTTTCTAATGAAATACGTACTCAACAAATGTTCACGATTGACTTCCACGGTGAAGGAATAACATCGTGTAATAAAAATCAGACTCGCAAAATTATAATTTGCGTAATTACTGGTGGTAGGACCCCTTGTGAGTCCGCGCGGGTAGGTACCACCACCCTGCCTATTTCTGCCGTGAAGTAGTAATGCGCTTCGGTTTGAAGGGTGGGGCAGCCGTTGTAACTATACTTGTGACCTTAGAACTTATATCTCAAGGTGGGTGGCGCATTTATGTTGTGGATGTCTATGGGCTCCAGTAACCACTTAACACTAGGTGGGCTGTGAGCTCGTCCACCAATACAAGTAATAAAAAAAAAATATGTTATTTATTTTTTTGTTAAAATTGTCTATCTATCTAGATAAATTTTCCCTTTACCCATGTTATCTAAGCAGACATTAAAAGGTAATATGTTGTGATGCAGCATAGTTAACTTCAACCCTTTGCAAGACATGGGTTTTATACTACGTAATTTTAAGTCCTCGGTCCAACTTAAATGTCGCCTTGGAATTCATTTTAACAATAAAATACTCAGATGTGTTTTAAACTTTCCTAATGCATAGATAGGCATTCTATACTTAATTTAGCATCGAACTGACAGTCTTCTCTATCGAACCTTGTTCGTCAATTATCCTGAAATAACCAAACTACCAATGCATCCTAGGCATAGTATTTTATGTGCGTCTTTTTGTGATTATAATGGTCAGATGCTTCGGTTATAAATACAGTTTTTGTTTTTTAATAAATACGGCTTTGGACATCGTAACAAAGTAAAATAATACATAGTATTTTAGTTTAGCTTTGGTTTATTTGCGTGAGACCCAAATAAAAAAACAAAACACAAACAGGCAGGCCGATAAAAGATTATTTTTTTATGGCTTAGTTGGGTGGACGTGCTCACAGCCCACCTGGTGTTAAGTGGTTACTGAAGTCCATAGACATCTACAAACGTAAATGCGCCACCCACCTTGAGATATAAGTTCTAAGGTCTCAGTATAGTTACAACGGCTGCCCCACCCTTCAAACCGAAACGCATTACTACTTCACGGCAGAAATAGGCAGGGCGGTGGTACCTACCCGTGCGGACACACCACTAGTGTATAGTTTGAAGCTAGCAACAGTTTTTGTTATCAATCAGTCAATGTAAAGGAATATTTAAGAGTTTTATGGTATCATAGGTGTTTAGTATATATAATTCGATTTCACCACACTCATGTCGTTGGTCTTCTGGTCTGGTTGGTCTGTCATGGTCTTATTTCTACGAATATACGAAAAGAGGATACTTACTGAATTGAACTAATTTTGGAGTTACGCCACGGAATATTCAAATGCCACCACGAAGTTTTACCGTCTTCGAAATTCATTTTCATTTAAGAAATGATTAACGTCACATCTGGTACGAGGCACCCCTAAATGTTGAATTGTTATTCGTTTCAATATTACGCTAGATCTAAAACGTCGGGACTTCTTTTGTTGACCCAATTATCTAAAATTAGATTCTCGTTTTTGTCTCGTTTATTTTCCACGTTTTGACACATGAGAAGTCTTATGATAGATAACCGAAGTCTATGTAGTGGAAAACAATTCGAGGGCAAAAAGTTTCGCGGCTCACTGGGCTTCTATTACGTGTGATATTGACTCTCGTAGGCGGAGAATCCAATCTAAGTATATAATCTTGTATATGCAAATTATCCTTGTTCCCTTACAGCCGAATTCTTACTCCGTCACGCCTTTTCGGTTATGGAAACGGCGCAATTCACGGAGACACGGTTGAATAAAATATATTCATACGTTATTAAAGAGGTTTTTTTTTTCATTGTCGGACACGTTTTTTGCCTGCGCGAATCCTTTTTATTATTCCGTAAAATGGGTGCAGAACGATTGTAACGCTAAGCTGGGACGTCCTTAGATATCCGAAAATGTTTTATTCGAATTTGTTTGACATAACACACTGAGATCGTAAGAACTTACTAGAGCACTAGAGCACAGTATTTACTAGAGCAGGCCTGTGCAAATGGCAGCCGTTTGTTTGTACGACCTAAAAAACATAAAAATCTTGTTGTTTATTGAAGTCGTGGTGGCCTAAAACATAAGACGACGGGTACATTCGTATTAAGTGATGCAACGCTTTTCGAATCCCGCAGGCAGACCAATGAAATACATACATAACAAATTTTCACGATTGACTTCCACGGTGAAGGAAAAATATCGTGTGATAAAACGCAAACCCCCAAAAATAATTTGCGTAATTAATTACTGGTGGTAAGATGTCTTGAGTCGGCACGGATAGGTACTATCGCCTTGCCTATTTCTGTCGTGAAGAAACGCGGTTCGGTTTGATGGGTGGCATTGTAAATAAACTAAGCCCTTAGAACTCATTTCTCAAGGTGGGTGGCGGCATTTACGTAGTACATATCTATGGGCTCCGTTAACCACTTAACACCAAGAGGGCCGTGAACTCACTGACCCATTTAAGCAATAAATAAATAAAAAATGTAGTGGTTACCAGATGTCACAATTTCAATCCTGCCCCTCGCCTTAAGAGATGAATTGGAAGTCTCTTCAGTTCAATCAATTGCAAGTGGTCGTAGTCGCAAGTCGCATGAATACCTTTCATAATACCCGGGTAGACTGTTGTTATAATTCTTATAGCGTTCGTTTTTAATTTTTTAATAATCAATTCAATAAAGATTAAATCTATTGCCATTCGCTAAATCCTGTCATTGAAATTTAATCTCATAAAACATAACATTTAAAATATATGAACTTTAACAAAAAGTTTTCAATTTAAAATCCCGAGGGTAGTTTTTTTTAGAAAAAACCGTTAAGAGGTTCCGTACTCCAACGTTCAGCGATCAAACTCACTGAGCACCAGAAATTTACGGCTAGATCCACGCAGTGAATAAATTAAAAAATAGTTTTACGTTTATGGTGAATAATGTTTTTTTTTAGAATACGGGCGTACGTGCAGAGATATAGGATGCCTTAACAGCGAAGTCTGCGTGCTTGCCGAAGATCCGTGCACGTTTGGCCACACAAGCAACTGCGGCACATATCCTACATGCAAGAAGAAGTCCCTTGTCGAAGGTATAAAATAAACAATGGCATAAACGGTTTGGTTTCAATGGTTTCGATGGTAGGCAGCGGGTTGGCTCTGCCTCTGACATTGCTGAAGTCCATGGGCGACGGTAACCACTCACCATCAGGTAGGCCGTATGCTCGTATGCCTGCAAGGACAATAAAATAAATCTTTAAATTTATTATTGGTAGAATATCTAGGCTTTTTCTCTAGTTAAATTGACACGGTTTTCGGTTACTATTTTTAGGATCGCATGCAGCAGAACCAGCGCAACCTAAGCCAATGGCTCCAAAACCGCAAACACCAACTCTTGATTTCGACTCGCCCCCTAACTACAAACCCCCGGTTCCGCCCAGCAACGGAGTTTCTTTTGGCGGTAACTCACCATATGACGGCACGTCCTCACATGGAGGTTCCCCCTACGGAGGTTCATCAGGTGGAGGATCCCCCTATGGAGGTTCAACAGGCGGAGGATCCCCCTATGGAGGTAGCAATCCATATGGAGGCAATCAATATCCAGGTGGATCGTCAGGAGGGCATAACCCCTACGGCGGCAATAACAATTACGGAGGAAGTTCGTCGTATGGCGGAAATTCGCCTCACGGTGGAAACTCACACTACGGAGGTGGCAACAGTCCTTACGCAAGTAATTCTCACGGCGGATCCAACCCATACGCGCCTAGCACTGGTGGATCAGGCGGCAAGAGCCCACTCGACAACATATTTAATACATTGACTAATTACGCTGGGGGTATCGGAGGTGGTACGCCAGGAAGCAGTGGCGGTGGCGGCGGAGGACTTGGCAACATATTCGGCAATCTCCTCACCAATCTCTCTAAGAATGGTCTCAGTGGCTTTGTCAATACGAGACCGATAATGGAGAATCCAAACTACTCCTCGTACAGCTCCAATTCGAGGAGTTCTAATCCGCAAACTTATCCGTCAGGCTATCAACAGAACCATGCGCAGGATCAGAACAAAAATTATAAACAAACGTATGCGCAACACAACTGGGCTACCACTCGTAAGCCCGTCAGCTACGGGTGGACCGTTAGGTAAATAAAGCAAACAGTCTTAACATATGTAGTGCTGAGCTTCGTTGGATTTCTACTGTGCTGGCACACAAGCACCTCGCTTTTTTTTGAACTACCTTCACTGTTTTCCATTAACTTTTAAATCACTAACTCAAAAAAACTACAGCCAAAAAATATCTTAAATGTACAAAAAAAATATTAACCAAAATGTATACATAATAAATAACGTATTGTAAATATTTTGTGAAAGGTGAACGTTTTAGAGGCTAAATTAATGTATTTAAAATTTATATAACTTGGCACTTTAACATGCATGTGGTGACTGTTTGTTATTTGTGATGGTAAACAAATGAAGCTATACTACAATCAAATTACAGATCCAGTAAAATGCTATAATATATTACGCTTCATCTCCATTTATGCAAAAGCTTTCATAAGCGTATGCACACGTTTATATGTACTATATACAGCAAACCTTTGCTTTTAGTCGAATTTAATCAGATTGGAACGAATATCATACAAAATGAAGCGAGTCCAATCGATGTTAATGCTTTTCTTTTTCTTTTTAAATAAGGTGTTTCTAGTGACGCTATCAGGAAAGGCAAAATTATTTTTCAACCCAGGTCAAATGTTCCTAATAGAATATATGCCGAATACGGCGTACAGTCAGCAAAATAGTTTATTTTGTCTAATAGCTTATAAACCAACTGATCAAGCAATTTAACAATCATTATAATTCGAATGTTTATGTTATTTTACGCATTAAGACATCGAATTAAACATAATATATTTTGAATTTAATTTCTATTTTTGCCTAATATTGCGTACAGTCCGCAAAATAATCAATTTATTAACATTTTGTCTTATATCTTATAAACCAGCTGATCAAACAATTTAATAATAATACTCATTATAATCCTAATGTTTTCGTTATTTTACGCATTAACACATCGAATTAAACATTATATATTTTGAATTTAATTTCTATTTTCAGTGTGACTGTGGTCTTGACGTACCTGATACATCAATATGTTCAAAATATTATACGGACCTAATTTTATGAATATATAGTTTATTATATTATACGCTTGTTTTTGAAAGCAATAACAGATCTGTTTCTTTTTTTTGACTAGAAATGTATGTTGTATATATTTTTTTGTTATTCAATTCAATTCGATATTTATGTTAAAATATAGTATTTTTACTAACAGTTCTGAGTTTTTATTGAGACTTCATAAGATCGCATGTAATCGTAAGGTATCTATAATTTGACAATTTTATTCAAAGTGATGAAAGTTAATAATTAAAATTTTGATGCCAAACTATCGAAAAATATTTACACTTTTGCAATCTAATACTCCTTTTCCTCCATTAGGTACTAATTATTTTTAAGACCGGTATAACTACTATAAATTCACATTCACACACTTCTTTTAATTCGAGACATATATAGTTATAATTAATCTGAAAATTTTAGTCTGGCAGTCAATAAACTTAATAAAAAGGCAAAGAACAAACTACTTATAATTCCAAAATCCGGCAAAAAGTAGATCTGACTAATGCCGAAAAATATGAATGCGCGTGCAAATATGGCAAAGTAGAAGTACTGTCCTCTGAATATTGTAGCTGATAAGAAAAGAGTAATTCTATATAAACGCCCCGTACATTTTGGCTATTACAGCTTAAACAAAAAGTAAATTTATGTTCTATTATGAAGCATCGTGCGTTCCGGTTCCAGACCGTAATAATCTTTATTCTCATATAAATAAAGGCTATCACGACTTCGAACCAATATGTGCGGTTTGTTTTTACACAACGCACGACTGCTTTTTTTATTTATTTTTATGCTTAGATGTGTGGACGAGCTTACAGCCCACCTGGTGTTAAGTGGTTACTGGAGCCCATAGACATCTACAACGTAAAATGCGCCACACACCTTGAGATATAAGTTCTAAGGTCTCAGTATAGTTACAACGGCTGCCCCACCCTTCAAACCGAAACGGATTACTGCTTCACGGCAGAAATAGGCGGGGCGGTGGTACCTACCCGTGCGGACTCACATGAGGTCCTACCACCAGTAAAAAGTGCTTTGTGTCAGACGTGCAGAGTAGTAGTACCCAGGTCGTGTATAGTATAACAGTGGCTTGAATGTACCCCTGGAATTACTGAAATCCATGAGCAGCGGCGACTAATTACCAAAAAAACCCACCAGCACGGGTTCAGGAAATTCCCTACCACGAGTAACTGACCACGGGCACTTTGAATTATAAAGGTGTGACTTGTGTACTCTAACATCGAATATGTAAGAAAGATACAGCCGTATTTAAATTTCGTTTTCAACGCCTTTCCAATGTAATTACTAAAACAACTGTAATTGCAGTTAATTACTCTAAATACCCATTTCAGTGAAACTTTTTGTTTCTAACAACTTAACATTCAACATAAAAATTGGTACTTAGTCTGTAGTATATTATCTGTTTTTTCCACCGATGAGTACCTACATTATATTCAATATTTTATTGCAAAAATACACAAATTAAAATATAAATAATACAACAATAATATATAATAAATATAAAGAAAAAGGATTTTAAAATAAAATTGAGCATTTTGAAGAAAACGAGAAATTAATTTCAGTTACGTACTTAATTTATTTTAGTCCACTTACATAAGACTAGTACTCCAATACAAAAAAAACTTCAGAGGTGTCAAGGGACACCCGGATGGAACGAAGTTCCTTTCGATTAATTAGTGAAGGAATTGTATTTTTTTTTTTAAGTAATAAATTACGGCATTATGAAGAAGAAAAAAACAATACTATGAACTAAATTACTATTATTGAAACGCTATCTCGAGCAACTGTACTCATTACGCGGACCAATCGGATACGAGCAATGTCACGCGATAAGCGCCTACACGTTGATTGGTCAGAATGACGGATCTAAAAAGTGTCGTGACAACTTTTCGTAAGAATTTTTTCCGTCTAGCCCCCTTTCACAACGCGCGATAAGGAACTTCGTTCCAATAATAATAAAAACTTATTCATATCATACAAATCTCAGAATTGACAATAATCTATCTATGTAGATCTTTGTTTAGCCATTATACTCAACAGTTTGCTACTTCAGTAATATATTCAGATGAGAATAGACCACGAAGTCCATGACCTGAAACTAAGAACCTTTTCCCGCATAAAAAATAAACTCCAGATCTCTGTCCGATCACAATTTCAACTCAATTTTGGACCACTTCACCGGCCACAGCAGGAAACTAATTTTGTGTTTGGTTCATAACATTGTCGAATATTTATGACTCCAATAAAGTGCGACTGTTATCATTAAAATTATATGCACAATAGAATTAAAAAAAAATTATAATGTCAATATTATAAACCAATGAAACTATTTTAATATCTCCGTATAGTTATCTTTATCTACACAATAATTTTTTTACAATTTTTGTGTCTGTTTGTTCAGGCTAATCTCTGGAACGGCTGGACCGATTTTGACGGTATTTTCACTGATAGGTAGCTGGTGATATAAGGAGTAACTTAGGCTACTTTTTTTAGAGTAGCTTCGCCCCGCGGCGTCAACTATCAATAATAAAATTTAATGTTTCCGTAGCGAAGCGAGGGCGGTTCGCTAGTATATAATATAAATACAAGTTTAAATCTCTGTACTGAATGGGAATGTATATGAAAAGTTAAACAATATATTCAAAGAGCTATTGATTCCCAAATAAATTCATGGTTCGAAGACACATCAATTGAGCAACATTAATTATTTACCTTGCACATTATAGTCTTGACTAAATTAAACTATTCCGTTTTTATTTGATCTACATTTTTTTCTGTTGAGATTTTCGGTCTATTTGTTTTATGAAATTGATTCAACGCAATTCCTATTAATAAAAAGACCAGCCAAACGCCGTACCAGTAATGATAAACGGATGAATAGTAAATCCATATACGATCAAAAGTCAGGAGCAGGAACGCGGCCGCCTGGTAAGACTCCGAATGCGAACGTAGAAACCACATTACGAAACCGATCACGTTCCTTTTCTGAAAGAAAAAAAAAAAACAGTAGTTATAACTATTATTAATCTATTTCTCCTCCCGACAATAACTCTGCCTTCCTAAAAAAAATGTGACAAGTACATTATTTAACATAAAACTAAATAAAAGTGGAACAACATAACTTTTTTTTTTATCTAAGCTGGTAGTCTTAGAAAGCTATGCCACCTAACATTAACTAACATTAGCCCTAGCAAGAGCAGTGCTTCGCAGAATCTACCACCGGATTGGAAACGCGACCTACTGAGAAGATCCGGCGAGAAAATCAGTCTGCTGTGTCTGTGGGTTAGTTTACTCGCTGAGCTCTTCGTCGTAAGTGATGGGTTCGACGAGAACGGTGACCGGTGCTTAAGGTACTTAAAAGCACCGTTAGTGGATCGTAAGGATCCGAAATGTTGTGTCATAATACTTACAGTGATAGCAATATGATGGAAATGTTTTGTTAGTAATTGGAACTGTCTTTTTTTTTATTGCTTAGATCGGTGTACGAGCTCACAACCCACCTGGTGTTAAGTGGTTACTGGAGCCCATAGACATCCACAACGTAAATGCGCCACAACCTTGAGATATAAGTTTTAAGTTCTCAAGTATAGTTACAACAGCTACCCCATCCTTCAAACCGAAACACATTACTGCTTCACGGCAGAAATAGGCAGGGTGGTCGTACCTATTCGCGCGAGCTCACAAGAGTCCTACCACCAGTAATGTACCATAAGTAAGTGTTGTGAGGATGCACATGTAGGTACCACCACCCTGCCTATTTCTGCCGTGAAGCAGTAATGCGTTTCGGCTTGAAGGGTCGAGCAGCTGTTGTAGTGTAAAACTGAGACTTAGAACTCATGTCTCAAAGTGGATGGCGGCATTTACGTTGTTGATATATATGAGCTCTGGTACCCAGTTAACATTAAGTGAGCTGTAAGCCAGTCCAACCGTCTAAGCAAAAAAAAAATCGATATTTTAAGCTTATCGAATTGATTCGTCTTTTCCGTTTTCCTACTAACGGTGTCTCTCTGATGGATGAGGTGTGGAATATGCCAGAAAATATTCAATCTCTTAAGCCTTATTAATTATTAATGCTCACCATTCCTGTAGCATTCTTGTAGTACAGTTTGTAGTAGATATCTTCGGCCATCAAGTAGAATGGACAGAAGTATATACAGAAAAAGTATCCAGCATGGAAACCATGCCATATCACAGATATAAATAATGCTGCGTGGATTCTGTATAGAAATAAACATAATATTAAGTCATGTTGTCTGAATTCCTTAAGCATACAGAAATTTTAATAAGGAAACTTATCATTAAAATTTCTAGAACAACATTTAAAAAGCTAGACCTAGAAAGTCTATTCAATAATTTTGAATGTATTCATTTTTTTTGTTATTCGTTATTACAAATGTTTAAATAACTTGACTCTTGACCAAACCACTATGACAAAATATAATATCTACTACGAGTATATTCAACAGACTATACACAAATAATAAATACTCACTTCAAAGGTTTTATCGGGAATCTCTTGTATACAACCATTGCTACCCAATACTGCACAGCTTTGTTCCAAACTTTCATTGAATCACGCAAAGTTACGACTGACTCACAACCCCATACGTCCATAGACTCAACTGTATTAAAATCGTACAGTGAATTCTTGGCTTCTTCTTCGGACCTGAAGATTTAATAATGTTCATTAAAATTAAAATATTAATCTAATTATAAAAATAATTAGCATTCATAATATGTACATTTTATTGCTGTATCTGAGTCGACTTGATATCAAGAGGTAATTAGAGCCTAGAGAGCACAATATAAATGCCTCCAGCTTGAGACATAACGTGAAAATTTCAATTATGTAGTAACATTTTTCGTTTCAAATCGTCGTGGCCTAAAGGATAAGACGTCCGGTGCATTCGTATCGAGCGATGCACCGGTGTTCGAATCTCGCTGGCGGGTACCAATTTTTCTAATGAAATACGTACTCAACAAATGTTCACGATTGACTTCCACGGTGAAGGAATAACATCGTGCAGTAAAAATCAAACCCGCAAAATTATAATTTGCGTAATTACTGGTGGTAGGACCTCTTGTGAGTCCGCACGGGTAGGTACCACCGCCCCGCCTATTTCTGCCGTGAAGCAGTAATGCGTTTTGGTTTGAAGGGTGGGGCAGCCGTTGTGACTATACTGAGACCTTAGAACTATATCTCAAGGTGTGTGGCGCATTTACGTTGTAGATGTCTATGGGCTCCAGTACAGACATCCTACCCCAGTGTGCTTAGTGCGAGTTTTCTAACGTTCTCGATAGCGTAAAAGTTAACAAATTTGTATGGAGTTGCTTGCGTTTGCCGCGAGGGGCGCTGTTCCCGAGTTAACTTTTACGCTATCGAGAAAGTTAAAAAGCTCGCACTAAGCACACTGAACTGAAATGGCTGGCGGCAATACTCAACACCGCTTCGCGTTAAGTTATAAGCAGGTTGACGGTATCTCCATCCCATATGGGCTTACAATACTCCCTACCAACACCAAGAGTATATTTATTAAGGAGACTTCTGTGTTTTATTCATATTGAGACCTACTGAATATCTATCAATTCTGGGGATCAATAAAGATGTCTTCCGCATAACGATGGTAGTCGTATTAGCGATTCTTAACATATTAACATACGTTTGAGAATGATACTCACAAAGTAATTAAATTAAAAATCTACTAATGAAATTGGATAAAGGTCCTCAAGAGAATGTTGGGGGTGACTGAGCTATCTTCATGTTACATTACTGGTTATTTAATAAAGGAGGTTAGTAAAACTAAAAGTTTTATGCATTATTTAGCAAATCTTTGCTTTTTGCATTAGAGTAGTCACTCCGGCACTGCCTTTGGGAAGTGACCATAAATTACACTCTGTATACTTACATCTGCTTTAATTTCATGTATCCCACAGTTGGTCCGTGACCAGTCCTATTTCGACCTTGTACAGGATATGCACCCAGCCCAGCTGAATTGCAGACACTTTCAGCTAAAGTCATACCCGCGTATATACGTTGGCGGAATGCAGCGAACAGAGCCCACGGATATAGCATTCTGTATATGATATGTCTGCTATTATGTTCTTCGGTTAAGACATACTAAAAAAAAATGTTTAAACATTTATGTTTACATTCTTACAATGATTGTACATAACAAATGTACAGGCCAAAAGACTAACATAATAGTGTTTATTTCTGCTAATTAATATACTACCATTTTATTATACCAAAGTAGCAGCGTCATAGCTAAGGGTCAGTTCATATTAACCAGTTTACATTATCTGAATATATTACATTCATCTTCTCTTCTTTTTCTCAACCTTATCCCACTAGATGGGGTCGGGACAGCTAATTTTTCTCTTCCATTCTCTTCTATCAGCCTTCATCTCAACACTCACTCCTCTCTCTCTCACATCGTCATTTACACATGCCATCCATGTCTTCTTCGGTCGCCCTCTTCCCCCTCTACGTTGCACTACCATTTCCATACATCTCCTAGTTACGTGCCTCTTCTCTCTATGCATCACATGTCCATACCACTCTAATATTATATTCATATGAACGTAAAATACCTAAAATCTCTAATTTTAAAACCTAATTACGAAAAAGTCATATCCTATTTTTATGAAATTCTAATAAAAGTTTCTCACCTCTAAAGGCCATATATTCGAAAATGCCAAATACAGTGAAATGTATAACGGAACAGCTTTCAAAGTGTTGATTGTTGCACCAAAACAATCAGCATTCTTACTGAACGGCAAATAGAAATAGTCATCAAATGTCCTGTATCTGTAATACGGTCCTGAAAATAAAATTAAAATGCGAATATAATTATAAATTTTCGGTGTGTGCAATAGGATAATCTAGAAACGTATAAAGTAAGCCAAAAAATAACAACATTTATAAGAAAATTGCTCTATCTCTATATAATCAAGTATCAGAGAGTTTAGAACTCTAAGAATATTATTCTTTCTACTAATGTAATAAAAGATTTGTTTATATTCCAATTATGTAAGATAGAGCATTGTTAATTTGTATGTTTTTATTCTATGCATTTACATTATTGATCTAATCGAGTTGAAACATCCTAACTGTTGGTGTGCCAGTGAAGATTTATAACATAACTTCAATTAATGATAGGTAGCACTTGACATTTCAATAAATAGTATATTTTTATTGCCAAATAATGAACAGTAATTGATAGTATTTAATAGTACTTAATTGTATTCTATAACCACTACAATGAAGTTAAATATAAATTTTAAGGAAATACAACTTAATACAAACCTGTCAAGAGACCAATATAATTAAATGAATAATGAAACAAGTCCGAAAGATCTGGATTTATAATTTCCACAAAATCATCATCTTTCTCTTTCTCATTTTTGATACTTTCTTCTTTTTTATTCTTCATCGCAAGCCAGGAACCATTAATTTCAAATGCTACTCCCACAACTCTCAATACTATTATCATTTCTATTAAATTAGTTTGACCAGATGACAGTGAGAAACCAAATTTATCAGCCAATCGAAAGAAGAATAAATAGCCAAACATGAAAAAAAAAGTGACTATGTGACAAAACCTGTAACAATACATAGTTGAAATTAACAAAATAGTAATCAATTATATCTACTGACAACAAATGTTTTTTTTTTTTTTATTGAACTAGGTAAGCTGACAGCATTTCCCCACAACCAGTATTGTTTACTTTAGATCATAAATTCTGTTGTAGTAGTCAATTATGAACACAAACATTGGATACATATTGACTTAGAAAATGTTGTATACCATAATTATGGAACAATGAACGCACTTAAAGTAAGTACCCCAGGAATCATGCTTCAAATGATGCCATAATTCAATTTGAGGCCAATTATAAATTAACTCCTAATTTTTTAGTGCTTACTATTTCGTAGTTTAATAGCCCTTGACTTAACACTTGAAAATTTGTATGTAAGTACTATTCATTAAAGTAAATTAATTAATAATCAATTACCTTACAGTACTTGCTTTTATTGCTAAAATTCCTATTGTTGCTGACAGAATAGGATGAATAGCACTGTATCCTGACACAGTCACTATTAGAATTAGCCCTAATAATGTACCTGTCCATTTCTTTAATAGGATTGTAGATAAACTTCTATAATAAGGTCCGACTACAACACTGGATAACAGAAGGGATAGGTATATAATATCATTAATGTTTTTTGTTATGAATCCAATCATTGTTATTTAAATTTATTGGAAGATCAGCGAATAGCACGGTCCGATAGCAAGTAAATATCTAGATTGCTGAAGGTGAGATTAATTTATTATTTTGAAACCTTTAACAATATCGAAACAGAGCGCCTAGAAAGTAAAAAAACACTAGTTTGGTGGTGATGCATTAACCACAATTCAGAAATAATATTACATTAAATTTATTTAATTAATTTTATGTGATTTAGCAGTCAAGTCAAATATTATGAATTAATATGTGTATTTTTTTATTGTGGCTCGCACGGTTTGTGCATTAGCCAGTGTCAAGCACTGAAGTACGAAACCTAGGGTCAAGTAATAAGAAGATTTTTTCGCCTTTTTAATTATATACAGTTTATGGATAATAAAAAACGAAGGAAATTGTCCGTGTTGGCCATTATTAATATCAGTTTAATTATGAATTAAATTATCGTGGGACGACATAGATAAATTAGGTTGAAAAAGTAATTTAATAGTAATTAACTCTGCAAATGATAATATTAAGTGAAATGAAATGAAGTTGATTAATATTATGAAATATGGCATGACTTTTTGGACTTTTTGGACGATCCAGAGAAGTTACGTCCAACAGCTTTCTTTCATTTTCCCACAATTGTGCACTTTTACAGATATTAAACAGTTAATAAACCACGGTTATTACACATTTAAACCTGAAGAAACCACCAGAGACCACAATTTTACTGGGATTATATTTCATCCCTTAAATATCATCTCATATAATGGGGTTGGCAACTGTCAAAGTGGCACTGGTGTGCATTGTTCCCATAACATTCAATATTTGTATTGGAATTTTTGATTAAAAATTATTTTAAGCACAATGACGCGTTGTTTTGTACCAATATGCTCAGAAATTGGAGTACATCAATTCCCGAAGGACAAGAAAATTGGAAGACTGCGGTTAAAGGCCATTTGACGCGTAAAAAGTACTCCCACAAAAAGTTCGAGGTTATGTCGTAAACACTTTGTGGAATCTGACTATGAAAACATTAGTAAATACACAGGTATGCTTCGTTCTGTCAAATATTTATAATGCATGACTAGGTATAGCACACATCTTTGTTCTCTTATTAAAATAATCCAATAATAATTAGTTAGGCACACTATTAGTTGCTAACATATTTTGCAAGTAGATTTATGCTGTAAGGAACCTTTTAACAAACACAAAATCAGACTGGAGGAAACACATTCCTCATGAGCTGTTGTTCATTATCAGCTGTTACTATTGAAAGTTCTATCTAAATCGCTGCATCCATTGCAAAAACAAATATTTTGAAACTATGGTCAGGTTTCCTTGTGATAGTATATTTAAATGTTATTCTGTGTTGTAGGTGTCAAACATTAATATAAATATCTGAAGAAAGGTGCTGTACCATCTATATTTTCATGGAATATGAAACCAGTTTCTGAAGAAACAAAAAGTAGAGAAGCGAAGTAATTTTAGAGAAGGAATTGTCAATAAAAATAATTAAAAATATTCCTGATTTTTTATTTCGACAAGTATGTATAGTTATAATACAGATTTTTTTCATACAATGCTTCTTTGAAAATATTTTCATAAAAGATATCTAATTTATTTAACATATTATTTATAAAATTATTGTCTTTTTCAACATAAATCACTTTGATGTCTTTGTAGGTGTAAATGACCAAGTTGCAGTATGTTTTGCCTGAGCAGTATAACTGTCCTTGGATTTGATAATAATATGGGCAGGTTTTTTTAGAGACAATATCCCGTTACATTGTTCTAAGTAAAGCACCGTTGTTATATTTATTTCATGTTTTCTGCTAGCGTATGGACATTTCACTTCAATTATAGCTTCTTCGCCCAACACACCATCAGGAGATGCAGCAAGATATGGGCGCTCTTGGCTAATGAAAATGCCACATGGCTCCACTAGCAAATCATATATATTAGCATATTTTGCTTGAGCATTTTTTTCATTTTGTTTCAAAATTAAAACTTTGGTCATATAGCTCTAATCTGAAAAAAGTAAAATAATACATTAGTTGGTTGGTAATGTGTGTAATATGAGCAATTCTTTTTGCACATGCTACAAGGAATAAAGTTCCTAAGGTACACAATTTAATATTATTATTATAATAGCTACCGGAAACAGTTTGAGAGAAGTTTTCTAAGTTAAAATAAAACATCAACATTGTACCTTTCGACAAAATCCACTTTTTTTGTTCGTAAAGATGCAACACGTTTTCTCAACTCCTCCTTTAATTCTTTAACTATCCAGTTGGAATACATGTTGTAAAAGTGTTTAGCACTACTTAGAAAGTAATAAGAACCGTATCATAGTCACAAAATGCCGAAATATCACGAACGCAAAACACACAAAATGGCAGCTCTCTGTGACAAGGGAACAAGCTACGCTGGCGACATCTGAGAAAAGCTTTAACCGGCCAACCCCATTTCATCCCAGTTGACTAATGTTTCAAATTAATCATCTTCGTTTCATTTCACTCCATATTATCATTTCTCATAAAAAGTATCCCATATCATATCATCTCAGTTCATTGCATTTCATTTCATTTCATGGCATATTTCATAAAAAAATATATATAAGATTAGGCTGTATGGTCGATACCTTTGCCTTTCCATTTGGAAAACTACTACTACTATACCTATAAGTATGTACATACAAAATCCAATTTTTTGTTAAAAATTTAATCATGAATGATGATGAGAAAAATGCTATTATTCAAGAACTTAATTTTAAGATCGGAAGTGATATTAACGAATTGGGTAGTACATTTGCTCTGGAAAGTGAGTTAGCTGATAAAAGAGATAAACTTTTAAGCTGTGTAAGTTATATAAATAAACAATATTTAATTTAAGAAATGAAATATACGATCCCAAAAGTTTTTAAATAAATGCATAATAAATAAATAAATCGAGCTGTTACGAACTTTATGTTTACTCGCACTTAAAGTTCTATGTCTCGTCTTTTACACCCATATGTTTGACTTCGTTGATTTATCTGACTTAAAAATTCAAATTAGTCTTCCTAAAAAAAATATAATTTCAGCTAACGGTGGCCAACAATGAGGTGCCTACAAAATTATCAGTTGCAATTAAAAATGCTGAAGTTAATTCAATGCAAATACAAAACTTGAAAGTAATAAGTAATGAGTTGAGAAAAAGAGTTGCAGTATTCTTGGAGCAGACAGAACCATTACGAGCTGAAATGGAAAGAAAGTTTCATGCTATAAATAAGTTATATGAAATAATTGAATATTTGAGATCTTTTGAGAAAGTAGATGATTTAAGGTTTGTAACATTTTATGTATTTGTATTGTAGGCATACGGCCTAATGGTAAATAGATATCATCCCTTATAGACGTCAGTGATGTCAGGAACACTACCATGCGTGTCTGCTAATCCATAAACCTCATTCAAAGATAGAAAAGACATAGTATTCAGGAAACATTGTGGATGGAAACTCACACCAAATCTAGATAAGTAGAAAAAGATCTCTGGAAATGTAGCATGAGTCAACTCTGCCCTGGTGGTGGATGGTGCGATGGTAAAAATGAGATGACAGGATCATCTCAAATAATTCTTACTAAGTACTCTCTATGAAACATATAGTACAAAACATAAGAAGACTGAAGTCATCATTTAGACCGCCTTAAAGTTCTAATTTCTAAGTCTATGCCTACACTAAAATCTTAGATAACCTTTTCAGTCTTTAATGCCATTTTAAGTTAATAATACATAATACAGGGTCATTATAATACAGGTGAAAACCTTAACTTAGGACTGTTGAAATTAGAATTTGTATTAATTATTAGCGTTGTTTCAGTCGACAAATGAAACAGAGTAGTGATGATGAACAACTTGTGCTACTATATGGTGAACTGAAGCATATGTGCCAATTATACCAGAAGGGTCACAGAGGAAACTATGTAAAGGAATACACTCACTATTGGCATAATGTGCTAAAAGATAAACTGACACAGTAAGATACTTAATAATACTTAAAGTCCCAAAAAACCATGTTGTTTAATTATTTCACTTCAATTTAGGCAATATATTTATGGAATGTATGGTTATCACATTGTCATACTAAATACTACTCATGTCATACTAAGTATTTCAATTTCCGCAGACACTTTGATGAGGTAATGAAATTACTGAAATGGCCTTTTATAAGTGGAGCTGAACATTCCCCACCTCCCAAAGAAGTTATGATTAAGTTCACAAATCTCATTAGATATTTGTTTTTGATTGAAGAACCTGAAGACTTGAACATAAATGCTGCTGTTGCCCAAGATTTTGGTCAAGGTTTGTTTTGTTATGTGAAATGTCTCATAAAATTAATTAATTAAATTTTGTGGCTTTTGTGTTCATAAAAGCTTACTCTGTATATCTTTTTTTCAATAATTTGAATTAACCAAATTTGTTAAATGTCATATCCAAATGAAAATTCTACAAGCATTAAATTTAATTTACCATTTCTTCACAGAACTAAACCCATGTTTGCCTGTTCGTGTTCTCTTAAGGCCGTTAAAGAAGAGATTTGCATTTCATTTCATGGGGTCCAGACAGACAGCTCGCATTGATCGACCAGAGTGGTTTCTCACTCAAACATTAACCTGGATAAAGGACCATCAGAACTTTGTTCAAAATAATGTACAACCAGTTGCTGATAAACTTGAACTGGACAATGTTAATGCAGTGGTGTGTTTATTTTTCTATCTTACCAAGATTTATTGCTCCTTATATACATCTGTAGCCATAAACAAAGTTCGCTTGGGAATAAAAAAAATTTACATAGAAATATCAAGTACTTTGACACTTCTTAAATTTTTTATTTGCTCCTTTGGCATTATTTTGCCAAAAATAGAATACTTTTCGAAATTCTATTCAGCTTAAGTTTTTTATAAATTATAAATAAAAAATATTTAAAGTATTTTTATAAATTTAATTACATTGCTTTGTCTATGTTTTATTGTTTTTTCATGTCAGATTTGTCACCAAGAAAGTTATTGTTAGAAATAGCATTAAATTTAGCCTTATAAGCTGTTAAAAATATAACAAAACTGTTTAAGTGAAATTGTCGAAGTAAAAATGATTATATGAATTAAAAATTTATTTAAATTTAAAGTTATGGAATTTGCTGCTTTAATATATTATCTTCTTTGTTTGTAATCGACAATATTATTTAAGGATCAATTCAATGCTGGTCTAATATCGCTAGCTGCAGAAAGACTTCACTCAATTATAGCTTTGTATCATACACAAGGCACCAAAAGGGAGGTAGTCGATGCAGATGCCGCATTCGCACATGCTGTCGACGAAATACTAGGATTTAATAGAGAACTGAGTACACTGACCGGAAAAGAAATAAATAGTATACTCTCGGTGCTGACTAAGGCGGAGACTTTTGTAAGGTGGTTGGCAGTTGAGAAGAAATGTGAGTGATTAGGTTTTTATTGCTAAGAAAACGGACGTAATTGTTATTTTGATTGGTTTATCGTAAAAGGCAGCAGTTTTAAGCGAAGTAAGAGTAACTTTTTTGCTTAGGCTGGTGGACGAGCTCACGGCCCACATGGTGTTAAGCGGCTACCGGAGCCCATAGACATATACAACGTAAATGCCGCTACCTACCTTGAGATATAAGTTCTAAGGTCTCAAGTATAGTTACAACGGCTGCCCCACCTTTTAAACCGAAACGCATTACTGCTTCACGGCAGAAATAGGCAGGGTGATGGTACCTACCCGTGTAGACTTACAAAACGACCTACCACCAGTAATTACGCAAATTATATTTTTTCGGGTTCGATTACTACTACTACTAGGGTTTGATTATTACTACACGATGTTATTCCTTCACTGTGAAAGTCAATCGTGAACATTTGGTGAGTACGTATTTCATTAGAAAAATTGGTACGTGCCAGCGGGATCCGAACACCGGACGTCTTATCCTTTAGGCTACGACGACTTCATTCATTTATATTGGGATCTATTATTTGATCCAGTGATAGTTGATACATGTTAACAACGATATGATGATTACAGATGCACTAAGTAAAATGGATGAGATATTGGGCAGCGACCAGTGGACCGAGCCCGTGGTGACGGGGACGGGCGTGGCTACGGGCGCCATTTTGTGGGTGCCGCGGGCTGCCGACTGGTTCGTCACACTACTAAAGACTATCGAGGACAGATACGCTGTGTTGCCACAGCCTGGACACAGGTCAGTGCTGTACAATACAGAGAAGTATTCAATATCCGTCGTAAATTATCATGACGCCATCGATGGAAGTATATTTGATTGATATCCAATACTAGTTTCATGTTAAATGCCCTAAGTCGAACATCCGGTGAGTTACTTACAAGTGCACATGGTTGGCAGCCTGTTAACTATTATAGTTTGAAGTCGTCATGGCCTAAAGGATAAGATGGCCGGTGCAATCTTATCTAGGGATGCAATGGTGTTCAAATCCCGCAGGCGGGTACCAATTTTTCTAATGAAAAATGTACTTAACTATTGACTTCCATGATGAAGGAATAATATCGTGTAATAAAAATCAAACCCGCAAAATTATAATTTGCGTAATTACTGGTGGTAAGACTGCTTGTGAGTTCGCACGGGTAGGTACCGACACCCTGCCTATTTCTGCCGTGAAGCAGTAATGCGTTTCGATTTGAAGGGTGGGGCAGCCGTTGTAACTATACTGAGACCTTAGAACTCATATCTTAAGTTGGGTGGCGGCACTTATGTAGTAGATATCTATGAGCTGCGGTAACCACTTAACACCAGGTGGGCTGTAAGCTCGTCCACCCATCTAAGCAATTAAAAAAAAATTAAACAAATTTAAATTAGTCGGGGGAACCTTATAACGTTTTTTTTATTATTTCAGATTACAGTTTCTAGAACTTCAGCTAGAGCTGCTGGAGGAGTGGCGCATTCGCTTAACGCAGCTGCTCAGTGCGGCCATGGACTCGCTAGTGCCTGAAACGTTCCTGTCGCCGGGACCCACGTCGCATCCCCTCATAGCGGTCACCAATACGGCCCATCACTCGCGGATCGTGCTGCTGCAGTGGGCTAACTCATTGGTAATTTTTATTACATTACATTATATTGTTACGCCGGTAAGAGTAACGCCATCTATCGCCGAACGAATATCGAAGAACCTAGAACGCTCGAGAAGTACAACGCCATCTATTGTCAGATAGCGGGAACTACTACTAGAAATGTGTGGAATATTCACGATAATTCTAGGATAAGGTACCGGCTATAAAAACGTTGTAGAGATGGCACGCAGTAACAATATTAACAATTTACAAATTTACAATTTTATAACTTATACACATGACATCTTATTTGCTTTCATTTACATATAAAGTTATATATTATATGTATTTATATACGGTTCTACTCAAAACCCCCTTATCATATATTATCCTATTTCTCATTATAATAATTATATTCAAATATTTAAATATGCATCTTGTTAAATTTCGATGTAGTCAATAGCTTCGAAATTTAATAAAAGTATTTGTTTTCATCAACAAAAAAAAAACTCCTTGATAACTTAACGCTTACCTTAATGAATACCCTAAGTAATTTTCTCTTGCCCTTATCCGATTAAGCGGAATCAGCACAATGTGTATCCAATCCTTATTGTACTATACCGGTAGAACTCGTATGGTTTGGTACCAACATATTCTCTATTGCCATCGAGCGTTTCATATATAAAAATGTGTTGGCATGTCAATAACAATCATTAGATTAAAAATTCGAATCATTTGGTATTTCTGAAAGTTTTATTGAGTATGGTTCACTGAAATATTGCACACAAACTTCTCCTTAAATGTAAGTGCGAACAACTACAACTTGAGATACAGGTTTTATCACCTAGTTCAAGCAAAGATGCAAATTATGATTGTGTTTCTACTTCTATGTTAATAATAAATAAATAAATAAAATAAAAAAATAACTTCCAGTCCAACAAATAACATTAAATTATTTTAATGGTATAGGCAGGTACTCTATTCTTAAATAATTAAGTCTGTAAGCTATTTTGCTAAGTAAGCAGTGTTCGTTTGTATTCAACAGCATTACCTCCAGTTGCACTACTACAGGCGGCAGTTCCAGCACTTCACACAGCAACAGCACCATGAAGATAGCTCGATTTCGTCTTCAAGCTCTGATGATGATGATGACGATGACGACAGCAGCGAAGGACACACTAAGAAAGCTTCTAGAGCAGGTATATACCCGATATATTCACCAAAACAAAATTCATTTCAATTGACTTTTTGCTATAGCTTTGGAGTAATTAAAGAAATTCTTCAGAAAGGAGACGTATATCAAATTTATTTATCAAAGATTTAAAAAAAAAGGTTTATCACCTAATAAACCCGTTTTTTGCGGTTTTCGACAAAAAACTAGACGTCTTCTTTATTAAATTGCGCACATAAATTAAACTCTAAATTGGACACTTAAAAAAATACGTTAATAGCTTCATCTTTGCAAAACTACTTTTGGTGGTATTTTCAGGAAAATTAATACGAATTGGATGTGTGTGTGGAGTGATTTATGCTTTTAATAAGAAAAGCTGCCTTGTATTTATTTGTTAAATTTTATTTTATCGAAATTTTATAAATTTAATGATGCGCGATCGTTAGATGTAATGAACTCATTATATTTGATGGCCTCTGCAGAATGAACATCAAAACATATATTACAAACTATGGCATAAAAAATATTCATAATCTAGAAGTAAAATTGATTGTTTAATTAATACAAAATTAAGTAAATATAATAAACCGCCTCTTTCGAGTCCGGCTTCGTGGCGTAGATTTTGACGTAGATTCTATCATTGCTTTAATTCGTATACAATCAGCCTTGAATTTTATACGACGACAATTTGTCTGAATTACTGAGATTTCAATGATATTTGCTTATACTGGGACAGTTTTCGCTGTCTCGCTTTAGTTCGTAGTTGCACTTTGAGCTCGTCACATTCGCAAATTCGCAAAACCAACAAAACAAGAACTAGACAAACACGTACATGCAAGATCCATTCTTTGCGCGCTTAAACATTTTTAACTAATTATTACTCTTTTAGTTATTAGCAATTAAAATCTGACGTTATTTTGTCACAAGACAGTTCGGCTGGCTCTATCATTGTAACGAACGAATAAACGTTTTTTTTTTATGATTTTTATTAAACAGACGAAACGATGTCCTTAAAAGAAGTCGAACTGCGAGCGAAGAAGCTCGCGCTGAATGAAATGATACGGAGGGATTCGATGATACACGAGCAACTGTACGACATCGTGAGTACCATGACGTTATTATCGACTTATTAGCTGGAAGACGAGGCATAGAAATAAATGCGACCCTCTTCGTATATAGTGTGAAGGGTGGGACAATCGCCGAGTTATTCTATTGAGACTTCGATCTCATGTCTCAAGGTCAGTGAAGGCATTCACATTGCAGAGCCTCCGGTATCCACCGGTTAGACTGTAATCTTATTAACCCATCTACGCCATATAAAATAATTAAATCAAAACCGAAATACCAATTTGATTCTATATTTAGTAATAATTAACATTAGAGCTAAGACTGTTTTCGTGCGTAATCTATCTATCTATATATATATAAATATGAATTGCTGTTCGTTAGTCTCGCTAAAACTGGAGAACGACTGGACCGATTTGGCTAATTTTGGTCTTAAATTATTCGTGCAAGTCCAGAGATGGTTTAGAATGTAGATAAATATGAAAATACTCGGAATGAAATAAAAATAACAATTTTATTTTTCCTTTGATGTGTCCCTCGTCGGACGGATTCCTTTTGTTTGTTTTAAGTTTATTTTATACAAAATTTTAGGTCTTTTATTTATTTAGATTGAGACACTACGAAGTCTGCCGAGTCGGCTAGTTTAAAATAATAATAATTAGTTAGCACAGCATAGGCAGCAGATTAGCTGCACCCCACGGCATTGCTGACATCCATGATCGACGGTAACCACTCATCATCGGACGGTATGCTCATCTGTCTGGAAAGCAATAAACAATATCGAGGAAGGTTCCTTATAAATGTCCAAATTTTTTACAAATTAACTGTAGGAATATACGACAAAGGGAAGATCTTCCACCGAGCGGGTGATATTGCTCGGTAGACCGACGGTCCGAATGTTGTTGTTCGGAACTTGTATATATGCGCTTTATCTTGAAAATGTCGTAAGCGAGATTCAGGCATCTGTCAATTATCTTGCGTTGTATGATGGCTACCCGCCACATTAACAACGTGTGTGTGTCTTTCCATAGACTGCTCCGATAGCAAACCTCGCCGTCACCGAACCTCTGTCAGGTGACGAGGATATGGAAGAAGCGGGAGTATTCGCCGAAGCACCAGCTTTACTATCTCGGTTACTTAATGCGGCCTTAGACGCGATTTCTGAACACATAACATTAGAATTCAAGGCCAGTATAAGGGACTACAAGAAACAAAAGTGAGTAACTTTGTCAATCATAAATTTTGAAATTTTATTTTTAGATTAAAACAGTTGAAATATTTCACGGTCGCATCATGTATGTTTGTCTCATCGGTAGGTTGATCGATATCTTTATACAATGATTCGAAAAGGATTTAAGTTAAAAATTGAAATGAATCCTAAAAAAAAAAGAATCTGTACAAAGTACACATGTCAGAAGTGAAACATTTATAAATTTAACTCAATGTTTACACACTGTATATGTCGGCGTTAAGCCAGGATTTACACACATAAGTTCTTTTACAATGAAAATACAATACAATTCTATAAAACTTTAACATTACTTGTTTACAACAAAAAGCCACGCCTGAGTTATTCAGTGGTTTTTACACAATTAGCCATTTTGTGTTGGTTTATAGCAACTACAACTTCTTTTATACAAACAAATGTAATTACTGCGAAACAATTCACAAAACATAGCTTAATATTCAAAATACATGTTTTAGTGATTTTACATGACTCACATTTAATTTACTTTACATGAATTACTTTTAAGCAATATTAACTAACATTGTTATTATCCAGCCTAATAATAGATGGCGCCAACAACATCGTTGCATAACAATTACAATACTTAATTAAATTATTAGTACTGTTAATTATAATATAAATTATTATTAATATTTATGCTTTATTCATATTTAATCATTTATACAGTCATTTGTGTTTTTAAACAATAATATAAACATGAAACATATTCTGAACATTTTCACATCAAAACAGTGTCTGCTAATTATTAAATATGGTAGAATATCAGTTTTGTTGCTAATAATAAATAAATATTAACATAGAATAAACTAAACTATATATTAATATGTTAATTATTGCCAACAGTGGCGTTTGCGCCCATATATACATACTAATGATAATGTAAATAAATAAAAAAAAGGTCTGCGTTTACTGTAGTACAAGACTTTATGCGACAGAATTGCTATCTAAAGTTCTAATATTTAACTACTAAACGAATACATTAACCAATAGCGGGTATTTTTTTCGATATCCCTGTCTTTCTCGCTCTCTCCTTCTTATCGCTTCATGGCACTGTGCGGGATTCGATCTCACTCTCTCTCAATCGGTCTCGATCGCTCTTTCCCTTTTCTTGGACAAAAACGTCCCACATTTTCGTGTATTATTATTATTATTATTATTGCATTTCATCCGTAAAAAATTACCCTCACGCGCGCAAAGAAGTTTCACTTCAAAATTCTAGGTTGTATCATCGATCAAAATAAAAGGTAAAATTGATAAAAATAACGCGTTTTATAAATACTACAGGATGACCGAGCTTTGTTCGGGTTTTTTTTTTTGATAAATTGTGTTGTTTTAGAAATTATATTTAAATAATATTGATATTAATGTTATTTGTTATTTTATTTCAATAAAAAAAGTTTATGTTTAAGTTGATTATCGATAAAGCTGATTATTTAAAACACGAATAAAATAATATTTTCTGAAAATAAATCGTAGCTAGATCGATTTATCGCCCCCGAAATCCCCTGCTGTACACTAAATTTTATGAAAATCGTGGGAGCCGTTTCCGAGATTCAGATTTTATATACCTATACATATTTTTATACAAGAACTAGCTGTACCCGTCCGCTTTGTTGGCTATTTAGAATTAACATTATTATTTCTCACCCCCACAAAGATTCTGATCATTAACGCCCCCCCTAACTGGTATACAGAGTCCAGCCTCATATAAATATAAGCCTATCCATTAAGTACATGTATTTTCTACATGGATACCAAGTTTCAGGTCAATCGGATGCATGGCTCAGTAGTTATAACGGAACATCCATCCAAAAACCACTGTAGATTGATATATGACGGCATCAGGGATGGCTGAGCGGCAGATTCCGTCATCACTCGTTTTCGGTTGAGCTTAATTTATTGCAATAAAAGTCAATAAAACTTTTTGAAATATAATTATTGAAACTCTCACCAAATCATTTTCGCAATGACAGGGTAAACCGACAGTTTCATTTCAACTGACTGCGACTGACAGGCTGACTGACTGCCTGTCCACGTACCGCCACTTTATACTCTGGCGTTACGGCGTCTACCCTACATTTTTGTGATATTTATCAAAACAACATTTTATCATTTAAAATAATAATCAAAACAATTTCTTAATATTACTAAAGTCGTTATCCACGACATATATTAGTATAGATTGCTCGTTTAAACATATAAGAATAACAAATGTTTAATTCTGCTTTGTTTGTCGGACAGGTGGCACAATCTGCCCGTAGTCGAGGAGCTGGCGCTGACGGTGTCGCCGGCACTGTGCGCGCCGCTGTCCGGGCTGAGCGCGCGGCTGTCGTCCGTGAGCGCGCGGCTGGCTCCCTGCCTCGCCGTGAGACTCCGAGCGCAATTAGCCACTAACGTCGACCGATGTTTGTTTGAGGTTAATATTTTTTATGTTTTTTTTATTAGTTAGATGGGTGGACGAGCTCAAAGCCCACCTGGTGTTAAGTGGTTACTGGAGCCCATAGACATCTACAACATAAATGCGCCACCCACCTTGAGATATAAGTTCTAAGGTCACAAGTATAGTTACAACGGCTGCCCCACCCTTCAAACCGAAACGCATTACCGCTTCACGGCAGAAATAGGCTGGGTGGTGGTATCTACCCGTGCAGAGTCACAAGAGGTCCTACCACCAGTAAAAGGTTACCAGTTATCTATCTACTATTGTTCTTAATCTTTAGTTTATAAAGCGAACTAATCTATACTAATATGTATATAAATCTACAGTGGTTTTTACGGTTGTTCCGTTATAACTACTGAACCATGCATCTGTTTGACTTGAAACTTGGTATCCATGTAGAAAATACATGTACTTAATGGATAGGCTAATATTTATATGAGTGTTGGACTCCCTACACCAGTTGCGGGGGCGTTAGTGATGCGAATCTTTGTGGGGGTGAGAAATAATAATATTAATTTTAAATGCCCAGCGAAGCAGACGGGTACAGCTAGTTATATATAAAAAAGGGTGCGTGTACTTATGTACGCGAGTAAGAAGTTATACTTTATTTTTATGAAATTTATTTCTTTTTTTTATTAATATTAAATAATTAATAATAAATATTTAACGTTAATAATTTAATAATATTTAGTATGAATTATATTAAATAATAATTTTGTCATTTATATTACTAAATAATGAATGCTAATAACACTTTTTTTACGAGTGTACATGCGCGAAAGTTCACCTGTGGCTATATTCAGACTCGCCAAGTTACGTCTACGATATTTCTGGGGCGGCATTCTAATTGCTTTTTTTTAAATAAAAACTTAAGATGGATGGACGAGCTCACGGCTCGGTCCATGAATGGGTTTTACAGACATTCCGGTGCGTTAGATAAAGCGTCAAGTGTCACAGAGTTAAATAAACTTTATAAGATTATTAAGTAAATCAAAGAAAAAACCTCGTATCAAAAACAATAATAATATCATAATACTCTTTATAGGCGGTGGTACTAGAGAATTGGTTCAACACCGGCGGCACTATGCAGTTCACGTTTGACGTGAAACGAAATCTAGTCCCTACGTTCGCTCCGCCGAGCAAAGTGGCCTCGCAAATGAATCAATTGCCCAAGTAAGTTTTAATTTTTTTTATTATTGTCACGATGGGTGGACGAGCTCACGGCTCACCTCGTATTAAGTGATTACAAGAGGCCCATAGACAGCAACAAAGTAAATGCCGTTGCCAGCCTCAAGATATAAGTTCTAAGTAACTGTCATCTAATATTTTATAATTATGTTTCATGTGGGTAGGCTATAGGTAGGCTATATATGTATATACATATAGAATACTTCTATACATAGGTTTGTCAGCGAATTCCTCCTAAACGGCTGGAGGGATTTTAATGAAACTTTTGTCTGCATTTGTGTGGGTCGCTGTCTAGTTTTTATTTACAATTGGACCATGCCAGTAACGTTGCAAAATTATAATTTGCGTAATTACTGGTGGCAGGACCTCTTGTGAGTCTGCACGGGTAGGTACCACCACCTTGAGTATTTCTGCCGTGAAGCAGTAATACGTTTCGGTTTGAAGGGTGGGGCAGCCGTTGTAACTGTACTGCGACCTTAGAACTTATATCTCAAGGTCTAATGGGCTCCGGTAACCACTTAACACCAGATGAGCTGTGAACTCGTCCAACCCTCTAAGCAATTAATAAATAAAACAGGTTTTAAGTTTAGTTCTATTTTCAATGCAAAACACCGTCTGTAGGTCCTCTAGTAGGTATCTATTATATCTTCTGTGTAACTCGTAATTGCTGCGTTTTAATTTATTTTTACTGTGATCACTAAATACCACATGATCTAAAAACTCTTCCAATCTAAAGCAATTTTTTTTATTGCTTAGGTTGGTGGATGAGCTCACAGCCCACCTGGTGTTAAGTAGTTACTGGAGCCATCTACAACGGCTGCCCTACCCTTCGAACCGAAACGCATTACTGCTTCACGGCAGAAATAGGCGGGGTGGTGGTACTTACCCGCGCGGACTCACAAGAGGTCCTACCACCAGTAAAGATGCTTTACATTTGTCGTAGGTTGCTCGAGTCCTGTAAACTCCTGAATCAGGACTACGAGGACGCTCGACGTCTCCGCGACATGCTGGAGAGGAAGCCGGAGCTGGCAAGAGACTTTCTGGGCAACCAGGGCATTACCTCGATCACAGGGATGGAAGCACTACAGATACTGAACCAGAGAACGGACCTGTGCGACACTAACAGCGCAGCTTCTGTGCTGGAACTATTCTGAGAGTTCGAGGGAGGATACCGGTAAAGCAACCAATAGTAATCGACGTACCAATTTGGTTTTCTGGATTCTATTGTTTCTTAACTGAACTGATATAAAGATCAAATTAAACGTTGTGTTTTAAAAATATTGAATCAATTAAAAATGAATTTTATTTATGTATTTTTTACATAGATTAGTGGAACAGCTAACGACTCATCATTAAGTGATTGCCAGAGTCCATAGACATTAACTACATAAATGCCACCCACGTTAAGAAATTAGTTGTAAGTATCGATTTTACAGTACAGCGGCTGCCCCACCCTTCGATCTAAAACGCATTACTGCTTCACGGCAGAAATAGGCAGGGTGGTAGTACCTACCCGTGCGGACTCACATGACGTCCTACCGCCAGTAATTACGTAAATATATTTTTCGCGGGTTTGATTTTTATTACACGAATTTATTCCTTTATCGTGGAATTCATTCGTCAATATTTGATTAGTACGTATTTCAATAGAAAGTTTAGTACCTGCCTGCGGGATTCGAACGCCGGCTCAGTCACTTCGCTTGATACGAATGCACTGAGCGTCTTATCCTTTAGGCCACGGCGACTTCTTTAGAAAACCAACAAATTATATCTATTCAGCTCGATTTTTCTTCATTTGAATTTTATCTCGTCTTTTTTTAAATTTTATTCCGATAATATTTTTGTCGAATTGAACATTCGAGCAAACAAGATTCCTGCTTAAAAGATAATTGTAATAATCTTAACAATAAATGCATGCTGTTAATGTTTCGGTGTCGGTTTCGGTTATTGGAGTACATTCATTTATTATAAAATGAAGCATTGAATTTGTTAGAATAATTGTTGAAACAATAAAAACACTTCCTACTTCTCAAACGTTTGTCGCACAAAGCTAATTTATATTTTTGACGTGATAACGTCTTATAAATCTATAAACACCGGCTGTACGCACGAAAAAGTGTCACGTTCCGCCTAAGCTTGAGCGTGCAAGCGAGAGCGCGGAACAAGCGATAGAGAGGTCCGAACGGCCTAAGCGTTAATTTATCGAAAAAAAAAATTAATTTTCAATTAACTCCTTTGTATGATACAAAACAATGATAATTTAGTGATAACAATTCAATTCATAAAAGTAATTAATTTTTCATCAATGTTTCTTTATGACGTTATCACGTAAAACTATCGCCCGCAAACCGACTTTACAGACAAAAATTTTTTTTTTCTCCTACCTCCGCCGAAAGTTCGGTTTTCGTCCCGCTGTACAGGGAAGAAAGTCTAACTTTACCTCCCTGGGTACTGACAAGTGCGCATGCGCGTTAGTGTCTACGTTTTCTCTCAAGCACATAAAATTCTCCGCCATTGTTGTGCTCGGGTAATTTGCAATATTGTGTTTAGTGTAAAAGTGAAATAAACAAAAGGCAATAAAATTTAATAGTGAAGTATTAAACAAAGATGAGTTGATTGATTGATTAAAAATTAAAAAACAGTTAAATTGTTTTATTATGAGTATGGGGGATCCGCCCCCCCCCCCCTACCCCCGGCCAGGGCTTTGCTCCTGGACCTCACTGGGGCTTCGCCCTTAGACCCCGGCTCGGTACTCCACGAACTTTCGGCCTGGTAGGAGAAAAAATATATATGCACCGCGAGGAAATGTCCTACTTTTCTCCCTTGATGCACAATGTACTATTTTTGGCGTGGCAAAAGACATGGCCCGGGCAACGCTATCAATGTTTGCTATGCAGTTATTTTATATGACTAATATGTTGTCTGGAACTTGAAGCGTGTTTCACTCGTCCTGAATTACAGATATAAAGCGGGTAAAACCGTGGGGTATGTCGAATTGGATCGTTGGTCGAGTGGCGAGTGGACTGCGACTACTGGTTCACGGGGTCAGAGTTCGATTCTTACTTGGAATTTGTATCCTTGTGAATGATATTGAATTTTCAGAGTGGGTTTGAGCATTTCTTCGACTTTTTTCTGGATTTAAGAATTAATAATTGTAGCTGATAAGGAATAGCCGTAGTAGATTTCCGATTTGAAGTGTGAGATATGTAATATTTGATCATTGAAATATTTAAGCTAAGTGCATGATAATCTGTTAATATTGCTGTTGTTAGTTTTTTTTTCAATTATTGGCGTATTTTTAAGTATACAGTGAAATTAATTATACTTTGTTTATATTCTGTGATTTTATTAAGAGAAATGTGATCTGGGTTTTATTTATATTAAAATAATCGCATTTAAAGCATGAACTTCGTAAAATGGTAATTATTGTTCGAAATAAATAAGGATATAAACAAGAGATGTCTTTTTTATTATATTTAACAACATATTTATTTTGTACAAAAATTAAAATGAAATCACTTACAAAATTTAACCAACATAGTAACTACAATACATTAACTGTAAACTGTGATTCGTCAACAAAACTTAAATTCAAATAATATTGATTCTTAAGTTTAATACAGAAACAGAAAAGGGTTTAATATTTTTAACGTTGGGATTGATTATTTTCAGATTTTTAAGATTGTTATTACTATCCTATGGTAGATTCAGCGATGCACTGATCTTGCTAGTGCCGGTGTTAGCAAATTCTCTCAGGTTGAGCCCGTGAGCACACGTATCGGTCCGTGAGTAGTTGGAATAGGCCCTTATAATACCGAGATTAGGTAAGGGAATAAAATAATAAAAAGATACACATATGGCGTAGTTTTTTTTTCCGTGTGCTTAGTGCGAGTTTTTTAACGTTCTCGATAGCGTAAAAGTTAGCCCAATTTTGTTTGCAGTTAGAACAGCGCTACTAGCTGCAAACGATCCCATTCCATACAAATATGAGCTAACTTTTACGCTATCGATAACGTTAAAAAACTCGCAGCAAGCACACAGGTAATTTTTTTTTAAGAGATTTTATGACCTGGTTACTGAGACCTTTAAGTCATGTCTTATTTTAATGTATATTCTTAATTTTATGAAAAATGATATTATGGAGTGAAATGAAATGAAAATGATTAATTTGAGACATTAATCAACTCGGATGAAATTAAATGAGATGATATGAGATGAAATCTAATCTCAGTAAAATGGTGGTCATTTACTAAGATTTTTTCAGTGGACTTTTTGGAGGATCCCGAGAAGTTACGTCCAGCGGCTTTATTTCATTTTCTCACATTTGTGCACTTTCACAGATATTAAACGGTTAATAAGCCACCATTATTACACATTTAAACCCGAAGAAACACTAAATAGACAAAATAAAACAAATCACACAACTTCACTCCTCGCGTTCCCGCCAAAAAGTCCACACAGGTCAAGTTAAAAACGTATCATAGATAATAACGAACAAATGAACTCACAATTAGTTCTCGACTCACAAAACTATTGTAACACACACACATACGAAAGGAATCATCATTCTGATGGTTCTTGAGTTTTTCATTACATACAGCAAGCGATGTAACGGTCGCTAATGTCACTTTGTAAAATAATGTTGCCATGCTTATTTAGATAGTAATATTTCAGTTTAGTTCTGATTCAGCTTACTTGCGCAGAGTTAATCACACCAAATATATTGTGATACTTATTTTAAAGCTCCTGCGACGCATAGCGGTGTGGACCTAGCAAACAGCAGCTACCTATTGCTTTAGATTTTTTTTTCGTTGACGGAAAATGAAAGTATGTACATACGTAGACAAAACGTTTAATTATTCTCAAAAATGAAATGCTCCGTTTGTGTTAAGGTCATTATTCTATTTTTAAATTATTTTTTATTATGTCTTTTACATGTCCCGCGAATATACCTGATTAAATTTAAAAAAAAAAATTTGGCGCGTACCGTTCCAATGTGCACTACAATAAAAATAAAAAAATTTAATTTGTAACAGCGTCACTAAACTAAACATGAATCGTATAAATACGTTATTTAAATGATTGATTGTTACACAAAGTGAATGTACTTCCTTAAATGAAATAACCAAACGAGACTTGTGGAGAGTATTAAGCGGTAGGCAGCGGCTTGGCTCTGCCCTTGGCATTGCTGAAGTCCATGGGCGACGGTAACCACTTACCATCAGGTGGGCCGTATGCTCGTCTGCCTACAAAGGCAATAAAAAAAAAAAACCTAAACAAATTTCTTGATAAGACACGCGTACTTAAAACGCATATAAAACATCAAACAATTTAAAAACTGTTTATGTCTTTTAACAATGCTGCGTTAATAATAGCATTATAAAAATAACACTTGCATACAGTTTAATATACTTTAAAAATTGATAATGTATACTACTACGTACTTTCAACAAATAATTCCTCAAAGAGACATGTTCAAATGGCACAAGTGCACCTTGAAATATACGAGAATAATACTTAACAGTTAATCATTGTTCACAGCCGTTTTTATTTTCGATTGAATAAAAAAAAAACTTGAACGATATTTATTTTATAAAAATATTTCTTTTTCATAGATTTCAGATATTTTTTTAAATGATATCTCTTATTTTCCTATTTTACTTCATTGAAATTGATTTTCAAGTGGATTATATAATTGTCTCTAAATAAATGTATATAAATAAAATCTATTTTGATTAAATCGTTGGTCTAGAGTCTAGTGTGACCTTATTGACCCTGATTATTGCATCCGGCTTTGATTCCCGGATTTGTGGATATTTCCTGTATCCAAAACGAAAAAGAACATATTTCGTGGCCTTGAATTAAATATGAAAAGTTGTTAATAACTAACTATTATAACAGAGTATGATTAAAATATTATGAATTACTTAAATTAATACTTAAATATTCTTACTATCACATAACACTGGCTGGTCATCTAGAATATGATCACCAATTCACAATAATATTTCTAAAAACGTTTATGTAGGTACCTACTAGATGTATATTTATAAATAATAAAAGACCAAAAACTATTTACAAAAAAACGAAACTTCAACTCTAATGCAGGTCTGCCTACATAAAGTTTAAGAAGCGACTTCATTAGTAATATCAGTCCTAAATTAAACTAGGTAATCTGTGGCTTAGTGGTCTACACTTAAAAATATTAAAAAAAAAGGCAACGTCTGATTTTTGCATAAAGCGTTCACTTAAATCATTCTAAACAATGCGTGCGCCATTTTGTCCTGCACTCGAAATTAGAAATGGATTCCACAGAACCAACAACAACAGCCTCTATTCGTATAAAGAAATAGCTTCCTAATTATAACTTTACTTCGGCAGTGACCGTTTGATTAGTATTTGCTTCGACTTCTTGCTGCTTCTTTGGATCTTGAGCAGTATTGTTCCACCACTGCTCATCGCCTGACGCCCAGGCAACGAATACTAGGTTTGTTACAATGAATACGGCGAGAGCTATCCAAAACACCAATCGCCATTGCACTAAGGTACTCTGAAAAAGAAAGTATGTTTTTTTATAAATAATGCAAAAACCTACTTATTTTAAACGTCCGTGGCTTAAAGAATATGACCATCGGTACATTAATGTCGAGAGATCTGACTGTCTGATTCAAATTAAGCGAGCACGTAGATTCTTCCTTAGAATTAGTTATCACGTATTGACAAGTGACAATTACATGATGAATGAATTACATAATGTGATAAAAAAAACTCAGCAATAAACGGTCGTCCGGAGTATTGTGAGTACGCAGGTACTTTCCACTATCCTGCCTATTTCTGCAGCAAAGCCATCGTACGCTCGTTTAATTATTCATTAAAATTGAAACGCAATGTTTTAGGGTCAATGGCGGCATTCATACAATAACTTAAAATCATAATAGTAGCGAGATGGGCTGCTCAATCGTAATGAAATAAAAATGACAAATAAAAACTTCAAAGCCATTATTGAATATTTAAGAATGTACGTAATTTTATTTTCACGACCCCACATAATCACTAAGAATGAGAACTAAATCTCTGGTACGATATTTGGTACAAAATCAACCTAACCTGTTTACTAGAGTTTTGATTTCAGTGAACTAAAAGTTAACATACAGGTGTTAACATAACATTATTATTACCTACATGACCGACAAGTGACAACATAACCGAGTAACCTACAAAACTACAAGCCAAGTTGCGAATCACAGGCCATCAATCAACACAAAACATGTCACTTACATCAGGTGTCAGAAGGCCCACTAAATACGGCGCGATGATGCCTGTTATGGCCCCGATACCGTTCACGATCGCCATTATAGTGCCCGCGTAGTTGCAGCTCAGGTCTAGAGCATTTACTTTCATTCCTGGATAGAAGGCGCCCATCAGGCCCATAGAGGCAGTGAACAGAATCACTACCGCTTCTGTATTGCAGCCTGAATATGAAGCGAAAATCATGCATATCCCAGGACCAACGGAAGCTGCAAAAAAATATAAATTTTATTTGTTGTTCACTAATTACGATAACAACAGCAGCGAGAGGCAGTGGATCGTGCCCTTAGCATTACTGAAGTCCATCAGCGACAACAACCACTCGACGTTAAAATCAAAGAATTACAAATTAAAAAAACACGTGTGACACTCGGGGACTGCCGCGGTAAAGCTATTGCATAGCATTTTTGATCAACTTATGCAAATTTAATTAGACAATAATAATTTAATATTAAAACAATAATAAAATAAGACAACGCTATATTTATAAACATCATCAAAAGCAAAACATTAACTGTCCCCTTCATAAGATAGACCGCGCGAGAGCGAGATGAACAGACTTTTCATGATGCGCATGCACTGTGACGTCACGCCGCGTGCTTATTCACAAACACTATACAAGTGCAACGTGTGAATGTGTTGTACGCGAGCTACATGGTAGGCGGAGTGAGGGTGTTAGGTTTTATTTTCGTTACGGAATTTCTTGATTCGGTTGCCGCGCTCGAAGACCGCGATAAAAGCTATGCAATAGCTTAGAAATTACTCAATCTGCCCACTATGTCAGGAACATCAGGATCCTGCTCGAATAGAATTTAATAATTAATCCAAGTTAGTTAAATGGACCAATTAAGTCAATCGAGTGGGCAACATTCAATTTGTCTTGGAACTTCCGTCCGTGCTACTAACTATAGGTATTTGTTAAGCTAGGTGTTATTTGAGTGTATCTCTATAAAATCCTCACCGATAGTGGTGAACGTCTTTCTAGCGTTAGTAACAGTCAACCAGTTCCTTTTCACCATTTTGTCACAGATCCAACCGAATACGATAGAACTTATCCACATTACAGCGTAAGGCAAGGCTGCCAATGTACCCGTGCGATGGATGTCGAATTTCAAAACACCTGTCATGTATTTAGGCAGGTCTGTTACCATTGTAAAATATCCATAATCGTGTCCAATCTGTGAATAAAAACGAATGAGTCCATAGATGAGCGATGAGAAATGAGTCAAGAGATAATACTGTTGTTCAAATAATTTTGGTATCTAAATGAGCCATCCTTAATGATTTAGTCAATAACTCTGGAATCATCAGATAACCTTATTTATTTTAATACCCTAGTATCGTGCTAGGAATGTATTATTTTGTGAGTACTCAACTCAATAGATTTACTGAGCGATTTACCAAAATTTTTATTTGAAGCCAAACATTTAATTCGGTAGTAGTAATAGCTGTAGCTTTTTGAAAAACAGCCATCCTTGCGTGCAATTTCCTGTGGCCATTCTTAGCCAAATTAAACTATAGCAAGGATCCATTTTATTCTGAGCCTATCTGGTGTGATCACAGTAAGATAAGAAGAAGAGTAAGATTGCCATACCGAAATATATTTTGAACACAAAAAAAGTAGAAATCGTAAAATACCTGCGCACAAACTAACGCCCACAGCGGTACGGACATAAAGATCGGTTTCCAGGGAATGGCTGATGGTTGACTGGAGTGATGCCTACCGAGAGCCTCTTCTAAATATTTTTTTTCTTTGTCCGAGATAAAAGGATGCGATTCTGGATCGTTGTAACATAACAATGCCTGAAAAGAAAAGATGCTTTATAAAATTATTTACTAACTAATCTTCAAGGAGGTATCTATTAATCTCTATTAACTATCGGTTAGGTACCATTACAATTTCGAAAAACAAAGATGTCTCTATAAAACAATTATTTCAGTGCGACTCACCCATAAAATAAACCACAAGATTCCAATGGCCCCGAAAAGGTAAAACACACATTCCCACTCGCCGGTTTCCTTGATCACCAACCCAGAAAGGTATGTGCCGGCGATGTTTCCAATTTGCGAACCACCAAACACGAGAGAGCCCATACGACCTCGTTCAGATACGGGAGCCCATCTGGCTAACATCGCATTTAAGGCTGGGAAAGTCGTGCCCTAGAAAATAAATGTCCATAAAAGTTGTGTTTCGTGATGATTATATAATCGAAGTTTGTTTTTCTATTCCATTAAAACTTACTTCTCCAAGACCTTCCAGTACTCTTAAGATAATTAGTCCAGTAGCACCACCGGCACTGACTGCCCAGGGAGTGAACAAAGTGAACACAGCAGTACTAAGCACACCAAATCCTAGAGAGTATTTTCCGCCGAATCTTTCTGCTAGCATGCCTCCAGGCAGATGAGTAACTATGTACCCGTAATAAAACGAGCTTAGAATTATGCCTTGTGTCTCCTCGTCCCAGTCGAAGCCCGTAACTTCCTAAAATATTTTAACATAAATAAATTTGGTATACTTGGCTGCGTCAGCGTCATCAAACTGTTTGGCGTTTGCAAAAAACCTAGTAATAAGTCTAAAATAAATTATTTAAAAAATCCCGCAATTTTTTTAATGTTCGATTTATTTAATTAATTAATTATTTAACATCTTTAAAATGCACTGTATTTTATATGTGGTACGGAATATTGTAAGCCTGCATGGACTGTTACTACATTCCTCTCTATTTCTGATAACCGTTCTACAATACAATTGAGACTACGATTTTGTTTTTTGTGGGTACCGATAACCACTTTTCAACATAGACCGTCGTATCCCACTTCGACAAAGCGGCACGACACGAGAACCCTCTCATCGTGGCCGCCGGTAACCGATTAAGGTTAAGGTTACGCTGAAATAGCCTTTCAAGGCCATCAGCTTAGGTAGGAAAAAAATGGACCGTGAGCTTGTCCACCCCTGGTCCTAAAATCCTTGGGCCCGCGGTCTGCTCACAACACCATGCAGACCGTTGAGTCTCATATACCCCGCGCGCCCCTTTTGCGCGGGGACCTCGTAGGAGGTTCGGCCCTCAACCCGAAAAAAAAAAAAGCTTGTCCACCCCTCTAGAAGAAAATTAAAATTCGGCTTACTTAAACGAAGTGATAATTGTAAGGTAACTTACCGCGGCTTCAGAAGCCATGTCATGAGCTTCACCCGGGCAGGACCCTTCTTCGTATTCTCTGGACTCTGCGTGCCTCCTCACCATTTGCGTTATGGCGATGTTCAGACACACTCGCATCGTGTACGCGTTGGCTACCGCCAGAAAACCCATTATTGCCATCACCCATCTTTGTGGTATGAAGAATACTGGAATAGAATAACCGATAAGATAACTGATTCGGTCATTAAAGAAAAAAGAAGCTTGAAAAAATATATAAGTCTTCTTTGGAATTAACTTCTCTCCACAGCTTTTTCTTAACGCTACGGCGCCGCGGCGCGTTTCATTAAATCAGGTAAAGGAGGATATTTAAGAGTTTGACTGTGGCGTCAAGGGCATTAACCTTTTTAATACAATATAAAACATAAGAGATTCATCTTGAAGATTGTTAAATAGGTGTTTTAACAATCTTCAAATCCAATATATATCATCATAAACATAACCTAGTAGATACTAAACATAAAAAAGAAACATTGAATAATAGAACTAAGGGTCTAACCAATTTGCATCGAGCAATTTCCTTAGTTATTATCATAAGTAACAATGTGTCAATGACCTTGACTTTGTTGTACAATACTGCGTGAAGAATGCAATTGAGTCATCGTGAAAGACTTAGTTCGTCGTTGCGATTTTGAAACTGCCATTGTTATCCTAAGGTGTTATCGCTGAACGAGGAAATGCTTTGACTAATTATTGTTGATGCAGACAATCTTAATTACTGAAAGTACCACCGAGTTTTTTTTCCAGCACGTATTTCCGCAGTAGTTAATATTTCAAACCATTGCGGGATTATTATAGTCATCATCAATCATGGGAGGCCAACGCGAATGTAGTCCTGAAACTGGTTCTAATTTTATAGCCAAGCAATAGCAATAAAAGAACACCGCTGCATAATAAAAGGAAATTAGTAATTTGAGTTTTTAGCTACTGGAGCACGCTCATGTTGTTATCACAGTCTTATTTCTGCCGGAACGGAAACAATTTTTCGCTTTTGAAGGATTTTGTATTTGCTAGTCGAAATCACATAACCGATCTCATTCTAGTATTATGTTGTAGTAGCTATTTCATTATATCAACTGATAAAACGGAATTCTTCTAGTATCGTCCTGGTGGTAGGACCTCTTGTGAGTCCGCGCGGGTGGGTACCACCACCCTGCCTATTTCTGCCGTGAAGCGGTAATGCGTTTCGGTTTGAAGGGTGGAGCAGACGTTGTAACTATACTTGAAACCTTAGAACTTATATCTAAAGGTGGGTGGCGCATTTACGTTGTGGATGTCTATGGGCTCCAGTAACTACTTAACACTAGGGGGGCTGTGAATTCGCTCACCCATCTAAGCAATAAAAAAAAAGTGATCAACGTTTGTATGAAATTTACGAAAATTAATACTAGTTACGGCAAAAAATCTCTTAAACTCTCTTTTTTATAAGTAAACAGGCGGTGAATTGTTAAAAATGCGCCCGATGTCTTTTCAGCAACCGATTGTAAAATGATTTAAAGCGTTCAAGGCTGAACAGATTTCATAAACTTTTCAAAAGCATTTTTTTGTAATTTATATTTGTTTTTTTTTTCTACCTAAGTTGGTAGCCTTGAGAGGCTATTCCAGCGTAACCTTAACTAGTAGGTGAGCTCACGGGGCTCAAACCTGACGACATTGCTAACACGAACCCTAGCAAGAGCCGTGCTACGCAGAATCTACCACCGGATCGGAAACGCGACGCACTGAGAAGATCCGGCGAGAAACTCAGTGGGCTGTGTCTGAGGGCTAATTTACTCGTCGAACCCTTCGTCGCAAGCGACGGGTACGACGAGAACGGTGACCGCTGCTTGAAGAACCTAAAAGCACCGTTAATGGATCGGGAGCATCTGAAATGACGTTTTTTGGGCGACGTCGACTGCTTTCCATTCTTTCCGCAGGATCGGGAATGTAGTTGCCGGCGGCCACGATGAGAGGGTTCTCGTGTCGTGCCGCTTTATCGAAGTGTAATTTATATGGGTCGCGAACAAGTACATAAAGACTCCTGGGTTTTTTCTATGGGTATAATTCTAAAAATTAAGTCGAATTGTTAGTCAGGGCACTTTGACTTGAATCAAATTTTAATGAATATTCTTATAAGGAAATTTCACGTCCCCTTGAAAAATCCACGCTGTGTACAATCATACGTAAATCTAAGAACCTTTGATAATGGTTTCTCAATGAAGCCAAAGTCGTACCCCACGAAATAAATTCAATCAAAACATCCAATGATTGTGATTTCCTTGAAAACTATAAAGGAATTACCTTCAACGGGCAGCCAAAACTGAATTTTGCTGATTATTTAGTGTGTTTATTGAATGTTTCTTTGTACGTATATTCACAATGGGTTCTTTTTGTACAAAATACAAAGAAATCAGATATATATGTACATATAAACGAGTACAGGACCTCGGATTTACTGACCGTTAAGGCCTAACAAACTATCTAATTATAGATATCACAATAATATATCTAGGAGATAATTACAAACTTCCTTCATTATAATTCAGTAAGTATCGTTTATAAATGACGAACTATTTTGCTTTCGTATTTTATAAAGTATAGATATTCCAATTCAAAGAATACATTTTGTTGTTCATTTTTTGTTTATATTTTGCTAGGAGATGTATGGAAATGGTAGTGCAAGGTAGAGGGGGAAGAGGTCGACCGAAGAAGACATGGATGGAGTGTGTGAATGACGATATGAGAGAGAGAGATTATATGGAGTGAGTGTTGAGATGACGGCTGATAGAAGAGAATGGAAGAGAAAAATTTGCTGTGCCGACCCCACCTAGTGGGATAAGGTGGAGAAAAAGAAGAGTTCATTTTTTATGTGCTAAAATGCGCCGTTAATCTGATTGAATTGAAACTAAACAGTTGTTACGGGTTGATTTAGGCACTTCAAAGAAGATCTGTGTCATGATGCTATCGAGATGTTTCAAAGAATGTATTTATTCATTAGTACGGTATACGATAAAAAGGTATTTAAAAAAAACTGATACAAGTAGCATCATTTAAATTTCAAATTAGCTCTAATGGCCCAGACAGTGCTGAGAGTTCTTATTTTGGAGTATAATTCAAAATATACAAGAAATTTCTAGAACAAAGAGATACTTGGCACATTTTATTTTATGTGAGAAGCTGAAGTACTTTTACTCATACACATTTGTACATTGTATTCATATTTAATTTGTACTTTACCCGGCACTAGCGACGATCGTGTGACAATTAAAAACCGAACATTATTTCCGTACACAATGCATTTTTTTTGCAACAAAACACTGATGTGTCAACGTAATTACACACACTACGTTTCATTCTCACACACAATACATATACAAGGTATTTTGCATATCAAATCAAGCATTTGTATGGATAATAATTTGTGGTGATTTTTTTGTCATCCACATTGCGGTGCGGCTACCGTAACGGAAGTTGGGAGTGTTGAAGATACCTATTGTCGATTAATCCGGCCTGGTTCAGATTCAAGTGACGTCATTTTGATTATAACTTAAATCTGTCAGGCTTACAGAATGTTAATCGTTTTACTACATTTCGGAAACATTAAATTTGATACTCTGAAGTTGAAAGAAGCCGAGAAAGTGATTCCTATTTCGAACATTTATTTGAGATGTTACGCAGATACTTTCTGTATTTTAATGAACAGCTAATGAGCTAAGTGCCTCCAGCTGTGTTAAACTTAGTGTTTCTATTGACACACTAATTACAAGCACTGAACGCTTTGCTCGCAACTGTTTTGAATAATCAAAGACTTATATACTTTCCATTGCTCAGTGAAATATCTAAGCCTTTTAAAATTTAACTAAAATAATTATATAACAATGCTGCATATTGTAAACAATTGAAATGAATCACATTTACGGCTTTCCGAAAGCGGTTTTATTATTTCCGTTCTTTCATCGCTAATAGAATACATATACGATATGAATGCGAGTGACCCGTTAAATTTCCCGTTCAAACACATCAAACTGAAATGCATGCAGTATAGGCCGAATAAATTGAATCCTCCAAATAAAATGTATACGATAAATGCAAGACGCCAGTCCCGCGCAACAACGTAGGTTACCTAATTTGGCATTGGAATCGAGAAACTCGTTAGAACTGACAGTTTTTGTGGCTGTTGGCGAAAAGATTTCTATTGGACTGGTCGATTGGTTGTGCATTCCAGTGTCGTACGATCCTCGCCGTCCAATGACTGAACCAGTTCTCGGTGTCAACGCCAGACAAGCTGGCGGTAATTTCGCATCGGTGCCGCGTTGCTCAAGGTATAATCAATGTGCCGTTCCCAGAAAACTCGTAAGAACTGCAATCGCGTTTGTAATTGAAAGGATGCAATGGACTGTTTCGATTTATTCTCAGGCATTCTCTACCAAAAACAGATTAAGTACTACATAAACTTATTTTTCACAACAAATATCTTGTAAATGTGTGAAAAAAAAACATTACGTTGTAAAAATTCACTGTGATAAACCTAATTAAAGTCTTCGTTCTATTACCTATATATTCATGTTAAAATGAAAGAAGCTGACAGGAATCGCTATTGTAAAAGAAAAAGACTATTAGAGATTATTAGTTCCGTATAACCATTCCTTCAAAAGGCTTCGTGATTAGCTCGTACCTCTCCAACTTATATTACTCGCAATTTCCCGTATTCGTTACAAAGTTTCAAGTAATCTATCTGATCCCACCGATAACCGAGCCCTTTCACTATGATCGCTAACAATCTATAAACGACTATACCTATTTTATAGAAAAGTACAGGAATCGCAAAAGTTGTCGCAAGCTCAGTTTCAACATTTAATTGCCAATTATAAATTATTGGACGGCCGCTGCTTATCAGACTCAGCTAAGTTGCACGTCAATCGTGTTTAACTATGGCATTAAGCTGTAATTATCCTTGGTAAAGGATGATGTCAAGTTACTATTATATTTTACATTTTTATAGCTTACTTACAATTTGGAAACAGTTCAACCAAGTCTCAGTGAATCAACAGTTTCTATTTTAAAATCAAAGTAATGTGCCAGTCTCTAATAATTATGATTTAGCCATTTTTATTCGAAAAACACCTTAGTATCTCTTCGTAGATACCGAACTAAAAATTTAAACTACACT